TCCGTGACCCTCTAAAACACGACTGCAAAGAGAAGAGGAGTGCAAGCTCCACACCAGGGCTACTTATTACTTCGCAAGGCTTCAGGAAAGTCTAGATGACTGCTCCGTAAATTATTACCTGGCTAGGGACTTTCAAAGCCGACGGAAAAGAAGAGTCATACCTGGTTCGCTGTATCTCAGCGGTAAGTTTTAATGAGCCACACGTGATGTCCTCATACTGAGCCTCTCTCATATCAAAGGTACTTGGTCTTATAGCTGATATTAATCCAACTATAACAGTCGGAATTCCTGGGGTTAGAGAGACAAAACAAGGAGAGTCTGCTATTTTCTCAAATATTTTTCGCAAATTTTGCGAAGGTTACTTCGTTGACTTCAATTTTCTTAAGGGTGGATATACGAAAAATACATTTCTTTCTTTCTTTCTTCTATCAGTAGAATTCTACTAGAATACTAATGCAAATGCTGCATTCTGATTGGCTGAACTACGCGTATGCTATCAGACACTAGTGTAAATCTACTAGCGTTCTATCACGAATGCCCCTTCTCTGACTGGCTAAGCTACTGACTATCTATTCTGTGATAGATAATGAGTAGCGTAGTAGTGTGCCCTTCTTAACAAAATGATGGCCGCTTCTTTGCGTTTTCGAAGTGTCTGTGAAGGAATTTAGATAAAGTTTGAACGACTAGCAGATTTCTACTGAATTAATTAGATTATTTGACTCGCTCTCGTCAACTATCACGCGTAATAGCTCACCTCTAAATTTTATCCGACTGTTATTAGTTTAAATTGATCACATGACGCGATAGTGTTCATCCGCGGAAAGACACTATCAGCCCATCGTGCCCGTCGGAAGAAGATACATGGATGGATAGTATTCATCCGTGAAAATGTTTTCTGTAAACAAGTCTACACAAGCGGGCTCAAAGAAAATAAACAATTTAAATTGTATTAAGTGGGTTTTTGTCTGCTTTCTTCTTCAAATTTGACATTTGGCTCTCGCGGCTTTCATCTAAAAATGTTGAAAATAATTCCGACTAAGGTGCTTGAATTGGCGCGCGGAATAAAATATAGTGGTGAATAATAAAGACAATAGAGTGTCTATGTCTCGGAACTATCGGTCTGATAGTTGCCCCTTGGAAATTTGATGTTCTAAAACTAGCAAACTTGCCCTTGAAGCTTCGCTTTGTTTTATGGACATTTCCGCGGGGCAACTATCAGCCGATAGTTCCTCGACAGAAATACTCTATTGTTTAAATAGAAATCTCGAGCTCAAAATCGAATTGTTATTTAAAACCCAGTGGCTTTAGATCATCTGTAAAATAGCGAAGTTTTCTCGTTACGGAAGAATATTTAAAAACAAATGCATAATGAAACTATTCAGAAGACTAAACTGAAGGGCATTCACAGGTTCGTAACTTAAAAAAACTAGAAAATGTTGAAAAAACTTAAGAGTGCGCGTACACAACAGGAAATTCCAAACAACAATTCAGTCCGCGCGATTTTTCTAAAGCGTAATACGATGTACAAAAAAAAAAATTGGAAATGTTTAGCTAAAGAAAAATTTAGTTAGAATTCTACTAAAACAATTAGATTGTTCGCTCTCGATTTCTATAAGTTAAAAGTTGATTCTACCTTCGGCCTCATCAACTATCACCTCATAGAAATCTAGAGCTCATAATCTAATTGTTAATTAGAAGATAAATTGAGAAACGATATCATCGAAAGATATGATTGGAATTCCAGCTCACCCCATCCTATTGCCAAGTATGCAACGTACTGCCTTTCCACTGAGAAGACTTTAACCAACTTCATGTACAGGTTTACTCCTTCTACAAGCATCCACGTGAACAACGCAGTGTGAAAAAAGAACTGACAGACTGTCACAGCCGAACATATAGCCTGCGAAACCGAACATATAATTGCAAATGATCCAATAGTCAGATCCCATGGGTTCATTCATTAATAAATACAATGTAGTTGCCGTGACGTATTTGTGGCTACTGGCTTTAGCCAGTCACCATTATGTCATCGGTTATGTCATCGGCCACTTTTATGTCATCCAGTCACCATGTATTATGTCATTTCGAGTAAAATAAATTCGAGTTTAGCAGAAACATGGCGCTACGGCCGGCGTCACGAATGTCTACAATATCTGACCGCCATGCACTAGGAGGTCAAAATGCAGGACATTGCAGACTCGTTTTCCCAAGCGTTTCGACACGCCGTGACAGTCGACGTGACATCGCTTGCATATCTTGATGAGTAGGCAATGTTCTCGCAGTTTTCTATCTTTCTTTCTCATATAACCAGGCACGGCTTTGACCAAATGTACCAAAGTATTGTTCTCTAGGAATCTTGCAGGAATTTGAGCGGTTTATGAGAGGTTTTGATTAGAAATATGATTGTTACGTGCCTTGGAAGCATCTATCGACCAAATAACATGCACATTTGCAAATTAATGATTATTTCAATATTTCAGACCCGGAGCTTGATGTAATGTTTGTTTCGTAACAAATGCTTGTTTCGATTCCAAATGGACAGTGAAATATTTACCTTAAGTCAGGATTCATCGACAGGATTCTAAAACGCTCCGTGGTAAAAGCCATCTGATCGAGCCAGGTCGATAAGATCGTTTGCACAATTTCTTTATAAGGAAATTCTGACAGATGAGAGATGTTTGCTTCATGCATATCAAGAAAAATCAATTCAACGTCGTCTGTTCACCATCGTTTAAGCTTAAAATGAGAGAAGATTTCTGCCGTCCGTATAGGATGTCACTGTTCGTGAAAAGCTCTTAAACGATCGAGTCATTGACGTAGCCATGCTAAACGAAAATTCCATTTTGTTTTTGGCGACATGACGAGACTGGCGAGAAAGCTTCCCGCGTCCACTGCCGTTCCCATGACGTGGCCTTCCTGTCCTCGCATCTTATACGTAGGGTCCCTAATGTTACGGACATTGACGCAGAGAACATGTGTGTCAAGCACTCAAATTTAAAACAATACTAGCTGTACTTTGCCATAAAACTAAAACTCCGCAACTCTTTTTTGCACCATTGTAGTCATTCACTATCCTGTAACCACATGTCTTCTTAGAGTTGTGGGCTTTTGTTTTTTGTCTCGTCAGCAGTAGAGTGCCAGTTTCTACTTTTTTTTTCTTTCAAACTCAATTTAAAAGTAGATCACAAATGAAAAACGCTATTTGTTTGAAGAGGATTTTCGAACTTTTTTACATACCACATGATCCCGTCTTGAAGCAAACAAGCTTTTGTCCAAAACAAATACGAGATTTCCAAGACCCAGGGACAAGAGAAGATTCTTGTGTATAAAGAGCCTCTCTGACGTTTTAAGCCTGTGTAATGGATCAATCCCATGTTAACTTTGTGACTATAGATTCCAACTTGGCATTTGTTTTCTATCTTGCAACTTGTAAGTCGTGTTTCGCAAATTTCCACATCTATTTTATTTTTTTTTATCTCGTTCCATTTTTACTCCGTGGATGGAGTTGGGGAGTGCTCTCGTTTAACTCGTTTGCGAAAACGTGATTAATAGTCACTGACTGGAAATATCGAGAATGGCTGGCCAGGTTAGAAAAATCGGAAATCCTGAAACTTTGCCTAAAGAACGCTTTTAGGGGGCCACTTTCGAAAATATTCTTCCGATTTTCTTAGAATTTAAAGTCTTCGAGAAATTCGCAAAAAAACGAAACTATAGCTTTTTGGCTCATTAAATAAATATTACGTGACGCCAGTAACGCAATGCATGTAGCGTGTTTAGTCTATGTGACTTTGAACTTATAGCTTGGGCTTTTTCTGTAGTTTTCTGTATCTTGCGTGAAATAATGAAACAATGTTGTAATAACGACATGGATCAACTCTCTTTTTGTATATTTCTCACAAAGCATGGCCCACAAATGGAACAAAAACAGACTAGAGTGCTCAACAATAGAGTTCTTTGAACATAGGCATTATGCAAATTTGAGAAGAGACTGTCGCGAACTTTTGCACTTTACCCGTGTGAACCTCGATTGCCCAGAAATTGTTTCCCATATTATTATAGTAGAAACGACACTCTTTTGCACAGTACTTGTTTTAGTTCCATATCGGACATACCAA